CTCCGACGTACCACCTGTTATACCATTCTCCCCTTCCGACCGAACGCCTCGGTTTTCGTTATCTTTCGTTGTACGAACACTGGCCTGGCCTTGATCGACCAACCCAATCGACCACCATCCATCCTTTCGTTCTTCTCCCGCGAAGGACGTCCCGGTGCTTTTTCCAGTGAAAAAGTGCTTCGTGTCTCTTTTTCACCCGTTTCGTCTTTCTCTCTCTTTTTCTGGCGCGCGCGCTGCAACGAGAGAGAGCAAGCATTCATCATAGCATTCGTCGTTTCACGTGATCAAACGGAGATATTTCGTTCGAGGGGAGATTCCGCTTCGCCGCTATTTTCAAGGTAAGCGTGTTTAATGATCCTTCGTCTTTGTTTTGTTTTTTTTCCAAAAACTTCTTTCTTCGGCGGGAGGGAAAATTGTTCAGAGAGGCGGAGCAGTAACGAAGTAGAAGCGCGCAAGGGAGATTGGTAGTCGAATCGACTTTACCGTCGTCGGATAACGGAAATTAGATAGGGATCCGGTGTCCACCGATTGTTGTTCCGTTATTCTTTCATTTTCCCCATCCGTTCGTTTTCGCATCCGTTCGACCGTTGTAATTCGAGTCGAATATTATCGCGCGTCTCTCGAGGGAAAGAGGGGGGGTGGGGGGTGGGGAGGGGGAAGGTTTAAGATCGGCGGAGCGAGTCGGATCGTGTGACAAACAATGGGACAAAATGGTGGGACGATTTTAGGTCGACTCTCGTCGCTTAATTGCCACCATTTTTAGATAATATTCAATTTTTTTTAATAGAGTTGAATTAGGAACTGGTCGCAATGGCGGATAAACTCGTTGCAACACGAAGCGACAGATGCAGAAAGTGGGAAGAGAGATAAGGCGGATCAGAGAATTAAATCGAGAATGGGAAAGTTGTCGCAAGTTTGCTTAATGTTCACCGCGATGATTAAACGGAACGGGATCAATTTTTACGATTTCTTGTAAAAACGAAATATTGTTCTTTCTCTATTTTTCTTTCGTTTCTCGAGAATCCTATTTGATTTGAAGCGATATTATTTTTTTTTCGACCTTTGAAAATTTGCTCACGTGACCGAGTCACGCACACATCTCGATAAACGTTTCGTCACCGACTACCGACGCAATTACCAAAGAAAAAAGAAAGGAAAAGGAAGGGAAGAGTAAAATAAGCACTTCGATCACCAGTCCCGAGATCAAACTCGGGGAATTAGCTCTCGTATTTGCTAATTAACGCCAGAGGTTAACGATCAAACGCGTGTAGATCGTTGCTCGTGATATTATAGCGTTGCGTGTGGGGAATAAAAGTGCCGCCACTCCCGTCGATCATACGCGACTTTTCGGTTTTTTTTTTTCCGCTTCTAATATTGTTGCTCGCTCGATTGGTAAAATTGTTTAAAACAAATACTCGAAACGGTCAAATTTAACGGTAAATAAACAAAATTGATTGGTGCACGCTCGTGGAAATTCGTTGTTGTTTGCGTTTAATCACGATATTAATTATACTTAATGATACGAGCTTGCTGCAGGACAATTAACTTTGCACGCCTTGTTACGATTAATTTCGAAAATTGTTTCCTCGAGCGAGGAAATTTCTGGAAACCTTCTAAATTAGAATTTCGCCTCCTCTCTTCGAAATATTTTCTAAAAATTTCTTCTAAATTGATATCTCGAGCGAGAATTTCATCGCAAATTACGCGCACGTGTGACGTGGAAAAACTTCGATCGGGATCACAAACCCGCGATGTTATTCCACGTCCGTAACAGGCAATCGAGGAAGAGATGGGTCGAGGAAGTGACCAAGAGGATTGTTCTTTCTGCTTTCTTCGATCGGATTTAGACCCAATGGGACCTTGACTATGACTCCTGCGGGGCTATCGAGAATATTGGATTCCTTTGTATCGCGAAACGTACCCACGATTTGTGCGTGGCATACCACGGATCCGTTTCGTCCAACAATTTTTATTATTCGCGAGGCGTACGTATCCTCCTCTACGAGCCGATTTTTCGAGATGTTGCTTTTTGAAAGATAGTTTAGAAAAAAAAATATGACGATTGATTTATTTATATATATATATATTATTTTTTTTTCGATATATTTCGAACGTTTAACGAGCGACGTAACAATTTTTTCTATTCAATACCGTTAATTAAAACGATAAATCGATCGTATCGTTGTAAATACTTGCAAGATCTTGATATTCAAGAGATCATTACATCATCTAAATAAATGCAGCTTCTTCTTATCGATACTTATTGCTTATTGTAAACAATTTATCTTTATCTCTCTCTTTCCGTTACGTTATATACTTTCTCATTTTCTAGCAATTAATTATCGTCTTACCAGCCTATTTTCAATAAAAACGATAATAATCTATTGTAACCGTCGTTTCGAATTCAATTCTCGAGCGAATAATTGTGCAATTATATGGGACGATTCACTATTTCCACGTATAGAAACGTTTATATATGATGAAAAATTTCTTTCTTCCCCGTTACACGTTAACGCGTAAAAAAAATGTTTAAGCATTCGTTAAAAATCCGATATTCCCCTCTCTTTTCTTCCTTTCCTTCGAAAGATATTCAATAACGCGCGAAAGAGACGTGATAATCGCGATAATCGCGTTAGAAAAGAAACTTTCTTAAATCTATCGCGCGAAACAATTATCGTCTCGATTTTATGGATCTAACGAGTCGAATCTAACTATATACGGAACAATTGTTGTTTCTGTCTTTTATCCATCAAAGTCCACGCTCGATTCGAGGAACGAATCGAAGAAATAAAATAAGAAGTGAGAAAACAGGTGAGGAAAAACTTATTCTTATCGAGCGAGCGAGAGAGAGAGAAAGAGAGAAAAGTTGGCTAAACGTCTCTCGCGCCGTATTTGTAATTGGAAATTCAATTCTTATTTTCCATTTGAGCCGCGTTCAACGACGAAGTTGGAAAGATTCTTCTTCTCCTTCGCTCAAAACATTCCCTCTCCCTCTCTCTCTCTCTCAGAGTTCGTGTGTATCTGAATGCTCACTCGCGCGAATCCAACTCCCTCTACCTTCGTCGAACTTGATTTAAAGTTTCGAAGCTTTGAACGTCTCCTCGAACGTACTCGCGTGTCTTAATCCGATTCGATCATGCCACAGTGCATCCCGCGATCGTTAATCCGATTCCTCTCGAATTTCAATCGATGTCGAAACTTTTTTTTTCTCTTCCCAACCTCATCGATTTTTCATTTCGATACCGCAGATCTCGAGATCTCGATACGGACACTCGGTGTCCCGCGTCGACAGCGCCATCTTAACGAAATTATCCTCTCGTAAACCGGATTAATGGCGGTTTTCGGTAATGTTTCGTCTCCTCTTTCTTCTCCCTTCTCTCTTTTGGATCGTTGTTACGAGTCTCGCGAAAAAACGCACGTGGATGGGAGGCTATCTCTTTCCCTTCGTTGCAGTGTTTCTCGATTTTTCGAGAATTTTTTTCTTCAGAGAAAAACTTCTTCTGTGAAAGGACGATCTTGATAATTTTATAGAATATGGCAATGCAATAATTTCCAATAATTTCCACGTTTTTTCCGTTTGGAGAGAAAGAAGAGGAGGGAAAACGTGAAACGTGAAACGGAAAAGAAATATCGTTTTACACCTGTGGTATAAACATTAAATTTCTTCGTCTGGACGAAGATAGAAATCGTCTCGCCATCTCGAAGTGAAAATATAAATGGCGTTTTTCACGAGGCTTTTAATGGACATCTTTAATTTTCTTTTTTTTTTTTTTTTTTCAAAACCTAGTACAACGATTGCGATGGAACTTTTCACGTGCTCTTTATTGCAACGGAATATGGAATAAAACAACTGTTTATGACAAGTTTGAAGAGAGACGTATTGTGAGCGTAATAAAGGGCTATGCGGGATTTATGATAAGGATAAAATGTGGAAGCATTAATTTTTTTATGCTATCGAGTGTATTCGTGCTTTCTTTTCATTTTTTTTTCTTTTTAATTATTTAAATACAGAACATTTCACATTTTTACTTATATTTCTGTTTTTTAAATTTTTTCCAAATTTTTTGCATAATTGATTTTCAACGATTAAACTTAGTTCCCTTAATTATTCGTGAAAGTGTCTTTTGACGCAACAAGTATCGTACCCTGCTATATACATTCACCATCGTATCTAATTGTTCTCATTTAATTTCGGGATTTATTTAACAATAACGAAGAACGTGTCACGTGCGAATGATCGTAACATGAAAGTGATCACATTGAACATAACCTCGTCACTCAAGTATCGTCTCGTTGCACGCAAATCGAGTTGTAACAGACCGAGATAAAAATCAAATTCCGTCGAATTTTGTCTCAACAAAATAGAAACGATTGATTAATAATTTGGTAATGGGCATCGAGAAGACAGAGAAGGAAACATTATCGAATATACCGGTTATTATTTCTAATAATCGAATAGATTAGCCGCGTTACGTTAACTGGTTTCCGAGATAGATCGATAATTAGTCTCGCGAGAATCGAGTCCGCACGTACCGTCGATCAGTTATCCTGAGAGAATAGAAGATTCGCCGATTTTAAAAAAATCCGATTTTAACAAAAATCTGTGTGAAAAGATATGGAATATAACAGGTTATGTATGTATATAAAGCAATTTATTTTTCGACGGAAAAATCACTTTGAACGCGTGAAATCAACTTTCAAATTTTCATTATTTTTTTCATTCATACTTCGTACACGGAATTTTTCCCTACGGGAATATTTTTTAATGGGGCAGTAAAATTTAAAAAATTTGATTGAAAAATAAAAACGAAAATATAATACTTTCGTTTTTTTATATTTACTAAAAAAAATTATCGATCAAAATTTCGTAACGTATGAATTTTGTTATTGATTGTATGCAATTGCATCGTAACGATTTGCTTTTCTTTTTATGCGATAAAAAGAATAACGGACTGACAACAATTTCGATAAACGCGCGTAAAATTAGAAGCAATTACGCTTGCTTCTGATAAAATTCATTCAGTTATCGTGGTGGCCGGCGCCGAGCTGAAATCGTTATCGTTGCTTCATTGTGAAAATGCACTTTGTCGTCTCGATCGATTGTAATTCTCGGTTACGATTGCGATAAAGTGAAAGTTACGAAGTACAAAACGATGCACGAGAGTCGATGATCGAAGGTCCAATTCGATAAGGAACTCGAGAAAAAAAATGGCGCGCGCGAGTGTCCAACGATTGTTAGTAGTTTCGGTGTCGAGTCGAAGTTCGATTAAAAGATTTACTCTAGATCGTCGTCCAGTGATTATTATCGTCGAAGATGGTTAATGTATCGAGTAAAGATGCTTTACGCAGTCCGACGAGTAACGTAGCTGCAATCGGTGAGATTAGAGGCGAGTTAAAGTATAAATATGTTTTCGAGAGAAAGAAGGTTAAGAGATACGAAATGATCTTAAACTAATTTAGTCAGAGAGATGAAGATACGAATGTTTGAAGAATAACGGAAGAAAAATTTGATACGTTCGAAAATCGATAATTTAAAAGTGAATTGTTTTTTCAATACATTACATCATCATGTTGTTCTCTTACGCAATTCGTAAAATTGTATAGGTTAGAAAGTATACATAACGCTAGAACAATTCAAACTCCTCAAAAATGAAAGATTTCGTATTTTTTTCCCTTACGATTATTAAAAGCATGAGAATGTGTTTGACAAAATTAATATTATAGCTACGTATTTTCATGATATCACTTTAATTACAATTAAAATGTAAAATAGATATTTAAATATTGCAAGCCAGTAGTTTCTAGTTTTAAAAATACCCTATGCTGTTTAATACTTTTTCCAACTTTGCAGATTTGAATACAGTTTTTACATTACTGTACATTATGCAAAATTGTATAAATATCATTACAATATTAAATGAATTATTCATCGGGGACATTATCTAATATCTTCTGAAGAAGTAAGATCTCCTTGAGAATTAATTGCATAATAAGATCGTAGAAAACGTGATCAATTTCCTTAAAAATTCCCATGACTGTTCAAACGTGTTTCAGCATAATGATAGCTGTGAGAAAAATGATGGAAAGTGCCAGATCGCTAAAATCTTATCGACAAAAGCTATTTAACGAGCTTAAGCAATTCATACGATTGCTACACGCCATTTTCGCTTATATATTCGAAGATTCAAGAACTTGAATCTTTTGCGTCCTGCATTCTATCCTGGATTTTTAAATTATTGCTATCTCTTCTCCATACATTCGTCCAAACACAGAAAATCGAGTCAATAGCGGTGGTAATATTCTTTACACATCAGTTTATATAATATCTTCCAATTTTTACATCGCATCAAAACGCCGACGCGTTTAGCATCTATTTCACACTTTATAACTTGGAATTCCCGTGCGTATACGTGTTTATGAATTTTCATAATGCAAAAACTATGGAGATGTTCAAATTTTTTCTTTTTTTTTCCTTTTTACGAGAACACAGTTTCGCATCCGAGGAAATATTTCAAAATGTCAGGGAAGGAGGAAACCTCAGAGCATGTATTCGTTAACGCGGTATAGGTTATAAAATTTCGTTATTCGTAAATGATGGAAAGGACACGGGATTCGTCGTGTTAAAACTTGGAAGATTTATCGATTATTGGCAGTAATGCGGAAAAATTATGGTAAAATGTGACGATCGTGTCGAAACTTTCGTTGCAACCATACATTGCAAAATCGTTGTGCAAACATTGTTTTTTTTTTTTTTTCATTTTTTAAAAATGTCAAAATTATATATTTTTGACAAATTCGATGCCACTCTCTAGTCAGTGAAATAATCAATGAAAGTTTCAAGAAAGTTCAACTTGAGATGCATTAAATTATACTTATTACATATTTATTATAAAAATTACCTATATCGACGTTTTGAAGTGAAACTTTTAAGAAAGATTTACCGAGAGACGATAAGTGATAAATCAATTGCCATTCCAAGTTTCATTGATTCTTTTATATAGTTTATCCAATCATAGCCCAGACATAGTTTTCGCGCAGTGTGCTCAACAAATTGCCTACCCCGTATAAGCTTTGCCTTAACGATACTGTTTGCATTAAACTATTCGCCTACGAAAAACTGTTTTTCTTTCAATATCTCTGTATTAAATGTAAACAGTAGATAAGAGATGTAACCCGTGTATCAAGAAATAATGTATATATATATATACCAATATATTATTCAATTACCAAGTTGGTTTCAGTTTCAACGCTAGAAAATTCTCTCGTGTCTCTCGTGAAAAATAGATAGAAAAATGCGAGGAAGACTAGAGGTAATATTTCTTGAAATGGCACACTGACTTCTTCGCAGAAGAAAAAATTTATTACGCAGTCGTGAAAGTCAAAAGTGAACCAGTTTACAATTAGCTATCTCTCTCTCTCTATATATACATAAAATTCTTGCTCGAATATTAATAAAAAAAGTTAAAAATTTCTTAACGATTTCTCATATTTTTTACCTTTTTTTTTTTTTTTTTTTTGGTTTTATAAATGTTCCACTTATGAATAGTGATATGAATAGTGTGCATATGATGCAACAATTTTCGCGGTAACGATGAAAGTGTTTTTCTGATAGTTGTGTTACGATACGTGTTCCGCCATGCGGAAAAGAGAAAAACTTGATAAGTCAGGTGTAAAGAATTGAGAGTTATTTTATGAAATCGGATAGAATTAATAATAATAATAATAAAAAAAAAAACATGTACACAAACACGACCTTTTTTTTTATTTTTATTCCTTTTCACAAACGAAAAAAATTATAACGGATTATGTAAATTCGGATTTATTAGACAAATATTTGCTCGCTGTTCCTATTTAAGTGAAATTTCTTCGTTTTGAAAGTTTCCAACAACGTGATATCGTCAAATAATATCTCTTCTTTTTTTTTTTTTTTAAATAGTTTCATACATTCACGAAAAGTTGCGAGTATCGCGTGGAATTTCGTTTCGTGCAAACGCTTGCCTTTAACCGTGCGGGAAACAAAGTCTGTGTCAAAATTCCTAAAATTTCCAGGCCAACTTTGAGCTGGTGAAGAAAGAAGATATACTCGAATGTTTCGAATGTTACCCAGTTGAGCTGATTCTTTTTTCGAAACAATTTATGGAAAGACGTTTTTCGTACCCAAATACTTTCCTCGTTATTTTCGTGATAACAAGAAAAAGGTCAGACGGAATTAAATATTATTAAAAAAAAAAAGGAAAACTTGCGCATTACACCGATTTTATTATTATGTACACCCACTTTCTTAATTAAGAGAAAGTTAAGACAAAGTCGCCTTTATCCTCCCGACTGTCTGGACGAATTTTCGCGAGACGTGTAATCTTATGAAATTAACTTAAAAATTTTCAGTGGTTTCAGAACAAAGTTTCGAAAGCGAAGGAGGAGGAGGAGGAGGAGGAGGATTGGATATCGCGTTGAACGAATCTTCATAATTCTATCTCGGCAATTTGCATTAAGTACAAGTGTGATTATCTTTTACTTTAAAAGACGATCTCGAGAAGGTACTCCTGGATACAGGTGTAATTGTTTCGAACGCCATTTTACGTTACGAGAGCCTCTTCTTTTAATTTTCCCAGGACTTGATCCGATTCACATCCAAAGATTTCTCAATGCTATGTAAAATAAAAATGACAAAGGAAGAGATAATTTATTGTTATGTAGAATTTTATTTCGGTTAATTTTGTTATTAATAGGTTTTTAGCGAAATTGCGTGACATCTCGTTTCACACGCGTAATTGTAAAATCATTTATCGTTTATTTTAATATTTCTGGATTATTTGGTTTCGATAGAACAATATAATGGAAACGTGATATCGAACTTATCGATGTATATTATGATTATAGTTTCGACAAAAGCTGTCCTTGCTATAAAATGACATATTAACTGTTAAACGAACTTTACGCGCCATAAAATATTCTTGGCCACCGTTTTACTGTTCAAATTAATTCCCTTTATTAATTTTTTATTGTACACCGGGCGGGCAGGCAGGCAAGCAAGCAAGATTGATTTTTCATAATTGGAATTCATGGATTTAATGAAATTATTTATATACTTTCGTTACATTCGGCAAACTAATGTGTATTATCATTATCACGAAATTAATAATCATGAAATGCTGTTCGCGCTAAACGACGCGTTTTAAATTTCCATTTAATGAATTTTCGTTTTCGATGCGATGTGGCAGCCGATATTATAAATATTCGAATATAATTTTGAGGAAACAATTCCTTCCTCGAGTATTTTCAATTTTTTGTATCAATTTAAATAATATTTAAAAAAAAATTCGAAAGTGAAAAAACTATTATGTGGAATACGTAATATTGAATTATATACCGAATAAATTAAAAATAATTGTACAGCGGAGAGGAAACGAGTCATTTAACGATTCGATTAATTTTTCTCTGTTTCTCGTGAAATAGAAGAAGATTAAAAGGTCGATAGTTTATTTGGGTCATGGTACGGCAATAATCCATCTTTCTGTAAAAACGTGCCGCATATCTGTCATATCGTGCCAACTACATATGTGCGAACACCGTCGTACAAAAGCTTAAGGCATACCATTTTTATAAAGTATACTTGTATTTGGATACGTAAGTTTATTTTAACAGAACCTAGTCTGAAATGTTGAAAAACTGACAATAAAAAGGTAAGGTGAGTGAACAGAGGAATCGTAAAACAGCTTTATCGAGAAAGCTAATAAAGTTGTTTTATTACTCTAATCCGCCGGTAAAGATACTTCAATCAACTTAACTTGTCGCCGAGATATACGAATTATATTTTTTATTACATTGCGAAGATTTGGAGAAAGTTTGTTTTCGAATTTTCATGATTATTTGCAAATGTGTAATTTTTATCTGTACAAGTTGAATGGAAATTCCGTCGAGTCATGAGGATGAGAATTTATACCGGCAAATGATAGCGATAGATACATAGAAAATCTCGAATAGTTTATTAATCGTGAAATGTGAAAAATTGGAAATGAAACGAGCCAAATTACGAATCCTACGTTACCTACATATTAGTAATGGAAACGAGCACTTCAAACGTGTGCACGTTTTTTGAACGCGATTAAATTCAGTTTACCGAGTCATACGCGATGAATCAAGCTTTCTAAAATTGTATTTTATATTCAGTATCGTAATTTCCCTCTTTTTCTCCGCTGCTCGGCCTCTTCGTGCCCTCCTCGAACTCTCATTTGAATTTTCATGAAAACAAACCTGCGGAGACAACAACGAGGTTGCATACGCGAAACGAACGTGCCTGAGGGGGGAAAAAAACAGGAAGATGCGAAAAGTGTTTAATGTGGCGTACGCGTCGCGAACAGTGGCCACCCATTTTCATCGCTAAATTAAATCCAGTCACGTGCGAGAGCTGATAAAATACGAGTTCTTTAATCTGTTGTTTCAATAATTAAATCGCGTGTCAAGAGTTAGATGTTAATTTTTTTTTTTTTTGAATAAAATCGACTCAACTCGATGAGGCAAAAGTCAAGTTGGCAGGTGAACGTATCTTCGTTTATGAGGAAAACACATAACTTGAAAAGTGAAAAAGACACAGTGACAAATAATAAAAATGACAAGACGCGAGAGATATTTTTAATAATGGTTTTCACATCTTTAAAGTAACAGTCGCATTAAAATGACCAACGTTGTAACATTGTTATGCATACGACGAGCTCTATCCGTTAAATTTTACGTCCTTGTAAACATGAGATTTCCCATCTGTATTAAAACTGACCTGCGCACTCTATGCGCATTTGTACCCACGCGTTTCGAGCTTATAGGAAATGCCAGCCTAACCTCAAAGGCAACGAGACAGCAATGAATGCCACGGCAATATCGTGTCGCGACGTAGTGGAACGTGGGCAATACGAGTTTCTCCAACTAGCAACTAGGATTTAGAATAAAATTCGAATCACAGAAAAAACAGATACTATAATGCAAGTTGTCTTATCGGAAAAATCAGAAGAGATCACATCGAATTTGATCGATATTTATATATACGTATAGGATATATAATAGAATCTTATAGGAAAGATGCGTGTTTTCGTGTTGTTAAAAAATCATGACATTGCCTGTCACGACGAATTTGTCGAATAATTTCCTCTCTGAAATGAAAATCGTGACATTTGTAGCATTTATATTGTTCATACGGGTGGCTAATTTCTACTGGTAGTTGGAAACTTTTCGCAATTGTGAACAATAGAATTAATAATCGTGCAAATGATTACCACAATTTGTCCACGATAAAGAATAAATTTTATTTCATCGTCTAGTGTAATCGCAATTTATATCAATTACGATTAAAACGAAAATATGAAAAAAGTAAGCCAAGATAGTGAATAAGAATTTAAATATTTTTTTGTAAAATAGAATTTCGGAAAACGTGTATACGAACAAATCCATAGAAATCGAATCTATATTCAATATCGTGAGATGAATTTATGTTATGTGAAACAAAAAACTCATGCAAAACAAATTGTTTCAAAGCTCGTGGTAAATCAATTTTTGTTTTTGAAAACTTTGCAAATAACATGCACTCCAGTTATTTTTATTGTTACGATAACACAATTCTAAAAATAAATAATCAACTTTACATAACGCGTTTTTGGAATTTTTCACCATTTATGTGTTTCTAAAAGACAAACTCTGAAAATCTTAAAAAAACGATGCTTAAAATTTACAATTAAAATGAAGATATTCAAATATTTTTTAATGATAATTTAATAATTTCAAGTAAGTTATTTAATATTATTCTTAGTAAATGATATAGATCCCGAAAAATGTTCACAAGTAAACGTAGAACATTAGATATCAAATGACACAGTATCACGTGATTATACATTTACTAATTTTTATATGATTTAACAAATACTCACTCTTATTTTCACTTTAAACGTGGCGACATTTGAATAAGCTTACCATTTTTTTTCTTTCTCTCTGAACTGATGCACTAGATTGAGCAATCTCTCTTTGTCTCTCTCTCTCTC